CGGGGCATTAAATCAGTGTTGCTGTGTTTTTCAGGCACGATTGCATCCAATCCGAGTATGCGATTGTGCTAGCTGCTGCCCTGGTTCACAGTGTGCGCACGTCGCAGGGAGGAAGGAGCCAGTGTTTTTGCAGCAGCGGTGGCTCCGATTCCTCAGATTTCGTGCAAACCTTACACCCAATTAAATTGGCTTACTATGTCTTTGATGTGTCTGTAGATATTACTATGGTTTTATCAACAACTTCTGAATTAAGTGTCGATAAATGGCAAATTAATAGTAAAAAAATAAAGAATGCAGAATGCCCTCTCAATTTCATCAAAGATAAACTCTAGTTATAGCTAAACGAGGGCAACATTATTGTGGTCGTGATGGGCCGACAAGGGACGAGAAGATTCTCGGTGGTCAGCTGCTATGTCGTACTGAGTGAATAGACAAATGAGATATTAGATGCTCATGCAGTGTGATGCTCGTTTGCCAGAGTACGACGACACTGGTTCGTGCTGTAGATGAGAAATTAGGCCGTGAAGTAGGACTGCTAGCCTGGGGTCTCTAACGTGCACCACAGTAGTGATACACGACCGCATGCTGGTGCAATGTTTATTGAGATCGAACCTGGCGTGGATAGAGACCAAGATCCCTGGGTTCTGCAGCAAAACCAGTTACCGCAACATAATGAGCTTACTCCTTATTTTCCCACAATTTGTTTTTGGTTTTAGGTGGGCCATCTCTCGGGATATCACGGTAGTTATTCAATCCGAGCATAGCAATATTAAAAGTTCAAGCTCTCGTAGCTCCGTTCTGGTGGCTGAACCTGTCTAGGTTTGTCATTTTCCTCCCTCTCCCTTTCTGCTGTTGCCACTGCTGCCTATGGGTGAAAAAATTCTCAGCCTGCTTCTGGGTGTGATTCTCTAATAAAAAAAAAGCAGCCTCGTGAACAGTCCAGTGGAAGCTATGTTCTAGGTCAACACGAAAAAAGTTGCAAGTAGATTTCTTTCTGCAAAGCTAGGGTTTTTTGCAATCGAGGACAGCACAAATTCGGGCCTTTTTGCTTTCCTCTTCATCCCCTCCCCCCGTTCCAATTTTGACAAAACCAGCTGGGAACTAACTTTTCGGGGTTCATCGGTATACACTGAAGAACACCAAACTTCCGAACCCCAAACATCAATCTACTTCCATTTCATAGTGCATGAAGGAGGTATTAGCGTTTTGTTCAGATGGGAAGCTCAAATGTGAAACACCGACATTGCTTAAAACTCGTTCCTTCCCCTCAACTACTACTCCATTTTTTTCGTACTATGGTCCGCAGACTATCCCTGCAATCAATTTAAGCGTCTACCTTTTCTGCGATTTCCACATCTCTTGGGGTTCGGGCAAACCAGCTGGCACGAAGAGAGTAACTAAATATCAGTGCGTCCTACTGTAACCGGACGGCGTGGAAACCTCCTCCACCTATGGGGGAGACCCGCAGTGCCGAAAGCGCGCAATATGTGACGTCTTTGGTCCTGGGCTTACTACTGGTCAGAGCCGCTAAAAGCTTCATTTTAGTCGAAATGCAAAACATAAGTGTCGCGAACCGTTTCCATTATGTATGAAAGTAGTTTTTGTTCAGTATTTTAGATCAGAAAAGAAAAAAAAAAACGCAGTTTATAAAGTACGGAAACAAGAAATGATCCGTCGACACACCCGCCACCGAGCAATGAAAAAAGGCGGCACATACTAGAAAGGGGTAGTGGGATAAGACACCGACAAGCGGCGAGCGTAGAAAGGTATTGGGTGTACGCGGCAGCGCTGTGGTCGTATACGAGCTCAAGGATCCGACCGGTTCCGTGTGTTCCAAAAGTTCCGTGTGTTCCAGTGATCTTTACCCCAAGTTTGATGCCGTTTGTGGCCAATGAAGTCTCATGCCGAATTAGTGTTTAATTGCGCAGCAAATGCAATGTGAGCCATCCTGGCTGCCCGCTTCATACAGCCTATCCAGAACATGCTTTAGTGGCGCCCTCTCGAGCCATTGACGTAGTGTGCAGCAGCTGTGAGCGCTCGCTGAGCTCACTGCCCCTCCTCTAGTTCACGGCCACTCATGCAACCAAGGACTTCATGAAGGAGGTCATTTTTTGCTTGTTTTTGTAATTTTAATTTGACTATAACTTAAAATAAAGCAAAATTTGAGAAAAGAAAAGTTTTATTAAGTTACTACGTTCAGTGAGCTCAGGTTCGGTGCAAATTAAAAACCAGTAAAAAAGTCCTTGCAGGGCCCCTTTAAAAGCAGAAATGTTAGCTGATGCAGACTATACAAGGATCTGTCTTTTTTTTGGTAGCTCGTTTACTGCGACAAGACATGGAAGATTTTATGAATAACGGAGCATATTAATGTTGGTTTATATATGATACCAAGCCTCTTTTTGAGCTAATACAGCAGGCATTTGTCAAGGTGTGCTCCATATAACTTTTACGTTCAGAATATGCACGGCATACGGACTATCTAAGCAAAAGCTTTTAATTTTTACCCCAAACTTGTCCCTGTAGACTGTGCACTGGGTGCAGACTACAGTGCGGAAAATATGGCACTCTTCTCCCTACGAACTGAAGGTTGGATGTATCCGAGATGCTGAGTGACACTAACAGACTGTCTCTTGGCAACAGTTTTCTGCTCAATCTCGCCGGAGGTGGCAGAGAAATGCTAACATCCGGAGATAAAACCTAAAAAAAAAAAATATCTGTGACACAGAATGCGTCATTAGCAAGTAGAAATGACATAACAGTGCCTAACAGTGATGTAACACCTCGCTTCCAGCCCCTCCTTTATGGCCCCTTCGTCTCTGTTCTCGAAACCCTGCTTCTTCTGCCGCAGCAACTTTCTTTAGTGACCAATGTCGCCACACCTTCAAAGGATCGCCCCCAACGACCAAAAGGCACACGAGAAACCAAATATTAGTTGTAAAGGCACCACTTGCCAGGTACCTTTAAAGATTTATCCATATTGATGCAAAGGCAAACTGCTCAAAGAATACTTTCAATAGTATCAATAGTTAAGAGTAGCCTTTATAGACGATAACCTTACCCTCAGTCTCGTAACTTGGCAAATGGCAAAGGCCCAGCGTGCCAATCGGCACTTTGGAGAGAGACATTCGACTATACTTCGTCCCACCATTAGAACATTCCGAGAGATGCCCCACACCCAAAAGATAACCCACAAGTATGTTTTGCATGCTTCACTATTTTTTAAGAAACACCAAAAGATAGCCCACTTCTAGAAATTGTATGGCCCTGGCCAATGGCAGAACCGGCAGAAATGGCGTAACTTAGCCGCGGTGGGGGATAAGCGAACACTGCTGACTGGGAAGGACAGTCGACTTTGGTTCCCTACGGTTGCAAGTTGCGCAGGTCACAAAATCTAAAACTAGCATTTTTTTCAACTTCGCCCCCGTCGCTCCCATTGGCTAGAGGGGTCATAGCATTCCCTCTCTGGCAACTTGAGGTGAAACGAAGTATGGCCATTCGTCGCCAATCTCATCCTCCTTCTCAAATTTTTAAAGCATCACCCGAGGTTTCCTTCGCGTGGCCGAGTCCAAAGGTGGCGTCTCGCGCGTGTCGGCATCTCCGGAAGTGTTCCCAGAACAGGCGCCAGCAATCAGCGCCATCCTCGAAACGCCAAAGAAGCTAAATGCTCGGCAAAACCTTGAGGCAAGTTTGGGCACCCGTCTATCCATCCGGTAGGTCCTTCGACCAATCCGGCAGGTCGCCCGGCACCGAGAATGGATCCCTAGTGGTTCATTCTGTTCCTAGAGAAAGCGTTCTCATTGCATGATGGAGAAGTTTCTAGAGAGAAGACATCTAATAACCGTAAACAGTACTCATTCTAACCTTTTCAAACAGGCAGACACGGGACAATGACACGGAGAAACCTATGGCTGTTTCCACACGAAACCGACACCAAAACTGTAGTTCTTTGGGTATTCACGAGATGGCGCAACATTCTCCCGCAAACAAAATTTTGGCAGGGCCGAAACCATCCATCGCAGGTGATGGACGGCCTGTGGTCGTGGTTCGGAAAGAGTTAACCTGTCGCCAATTATAGTTCAATGGGCTACGGATGCACACACTGCGTACAACATTTAAAAAAGAGACGACCGTTCCGCACGCTCTGAACTTTGTCCACGGCTCAGTGAGCGACATATAGACAAAGACAAATATTGCATAAGGTCTGCAGGTGCCTTCCGGAACACGGCTAAGCGAGCTGGACGGAACGAGAAGGAAGACCTTCGGTTGCCCCACCCTCGACATCAGCTTCCTACCTTCGATGACGCTTCGGCGTCTCGCAGGCTTCGAGCGTGCACACGCAGCCAGGGCACGACGGAAGGCAACAAATGTGCATTGGAGGCCGGGCATTCGAAAGAGACGTCGCGCCACTCCAGTTTAGTCGGTGACTGTTGGCGATTTTCTTCGCACATTTAGAACCTACCTTCGCAGCTTCGTCTTTAAACCGCTGGTGATGCGGCTACCTTACTCGTTTGAGAAGGCTGGCGAGTGAACCTGCTGCGACAGCGTTCTGTCCTAGCCACCGTTAATTTCGCATAAGTAGCAAACGGCAGGAAAGACAGAGCCGCCAAGCACGCTCGAGTCAGTGGCATAGACAGGAAATATTTTCAGAGGGGGGGGGGGGCTGGAGTGGCTGGGATATCCAAGACTTGAGGTGCAGAGGGGGAGGGTTGGCTCAGTTTCGTGTGGGGACTGAAGCCCCATAAGCCTCCCCCTTGGCTATGCCACTGGCTCGAGCGCCCTCAATGTCTGTGCTCCCATTTCCGAACAGAATGCAACGTGCCGGATCGAGTTGCTTCGAAGTTTTCTAATAGACTTCTCTGCGGGGCCGGCGAAAAGCGGAGGCACGGCGCTATTTGAGCGGGGAAAGCGACCAATGTAGCAGAAAATGCGAGTGCCGCCGCGCCAAGCGATGCCCCCCGCGCAGAGGCGCCTTGATCGGCGTCACAAAGAAGTCCACTCACCATCACCGGTACCTTCCATGGACGGCCTGACTCCGCGCAATGATGCTCCTGCAAAAACAGAGCGGCAAAGCTTGGAGACGAGCCACCTGTTCCACGGGGCACACTCCCGGGGGGGGGGGGGGGGGGGGAAGCATTAGTATTGAACAGGGGAAAGGAGGGCCACGTCGTGGTTGCCACGGGAGATGGCTGCCAAAACATTGCGCGCGCGCGCCTTTCCCTCCCCTCTTGCAATATTCACCGCCTCTCGCAAAACCAATTGGGACAGCGCTCTGCTCTATTTACAGACTCTAAGAAATTGCGCGTGCAGCTCGACTACTCGGCCTTTTATGCGGCGCTTGTAGCCACCTCCTCCGTCGCTTTCGCACCCTCCATTACAAAGAGGGCCCCCGCCCACTTCTTTTCCTGCCGTTAATAGAGCCACCCAGGGGCGCCTGGGTACACCCAAGACACCTCTCTTTTTGTTGGAGTAATGACACCTGGCTGCTTCGGCTTTAGGTGTCCCTCCATTACATTTTTCTCCTTTCTTTTCTGGGGGAGGAGGGACACTGCTAATTCCCATACAAGCAGAATTACAAACACAAGTATGTGGCCACTCTGTACCCCAATATTCCCTAATCCTTTCGCTTCGTGACAGTCTCACAATTGCCTGGTCACTGCAACTTGGTCTTTCCTTTATTCACCACCAGAGCTCATGGGGCAAGTTAAATCTGAACCAACGTGCGCACATGCATGAGAAAGAGACTAAGGTTTTGTAGGCCTCGTGTCAAAAGTGCTCTGCACACAAGCTATTTTGCGAGGTTACCTAGTCTTTCACAATCGTGCCTTTGGCCACAATACACACAGCTTACGAGATAGAACCACTGCCCTGACATCTGCCTGAAAGCAAAGATCAGAGAACTGATTATCAGGCTGCGAGTCAACCTATAACCAGTGTTCATGCAAAAAAAAAAAAAAATAAAATAAAAAAAAAGGAAAAAAATGGTTGCAGTCAGCAAAGGCTTCTGTAGTGCAGGGCACCACTGGTGCACAAAGAGAGGTTTACACTCTCTTGAAGAACATCTTAGGTATCCTCCACATCTCGAGAAACGGCGTAAGCAATTTGTAGCTTAATTTTCCCAAAGATTTATAAGCCAAAGAATGTGAAATTAAAAAACTAATGCACTCCCACTTAAAAAAAAAAAAAATAAAAGATCTATAAAGAAAAAAAAAAAAAAGAAAAACGAGAGAGCGGCAGCAACTGGACACAGCCGCGTAGCCTTCCCAGTTTTCTTCTGGCTTCGCCGCACGGAGCCGGTGCACGGCGGAAAGCACCCTCTACAGGGGGAAGCCACCCGTTCCCACCGATTTGAGTCACGCCGTATGCTCATTAAAATCAGAACGAAAACGAAAGTAACGAAGTGCCATTTTCAGACAAATTACTTTCCGTGCACGAATAGCCTCCAAACTAACATGCGTTCAGTTTCGAAAAACCGGGAAAAAAAATTATACAAAAAAAAAAAAGATAAATAGAGCAACACTTGTTAGCAGTCGGAAACAATCGCGTCACAACAACGGCCGGTTGCTATGGCTGGCGCGCCGTCACGTGACGAACGACCGGCCGCGAAGCCGGCACCATCGCCGGCGCACTTTCGCCTCCATCAAAAAACGAAAAAGAAAAAAAGAAAGAAACAAAAAAACGCACCGCAGTACAAAACTGCGTCGCACTGACTAATGCCACCTGTGTGCAATTGCATATGCACACAGCGCGTTGCTAAGGTGACGGATTTCGGTGATGCTTGCCTAGTGTGTGCGCAACTCGAGCTCAAAAATATTACGATTCACGCTTAAAACTCGAGCTCAAAAAAGAAAGAAAAAAAGAAAAGAGAAGGGACCCGGCGCCTGAGTGTTCTACACGAAGACTCGTTTAACTTCTAGAAATAAGAGTTGTGGCGCAGGCTAGCTGGTGAACGTTTAACTTCCTCGCTTTCTGGACATAAGGCAGAATAATGAGATGCGCGAGTCCGCGCATCTCATTATAACTCCTCAGACAATCAGATTACGGCATGCAACCTTAAAACACCAATCACAAAGCCGCAAGCGTCAACCGTCAGTGACTAAGTAGTACAAGTAACGAGTACTCGTGAAATCCCACAATTAAAACTACCAATTTTTTCCCCTACTTTGTAATATTGTGCTTAAAACCACGAACGCACAAACATTTCTTTAATTCGGTTTACTTTTTTTTTTACGCCACTTGAAAATTATGTGGCGTGTAATTTTAATAAGTATCATTATTAACGCAACACGCCCGCGCGTGTTATCTACGGGTTCTGTGAGGATTTCAATGCGTCGCTCTTCTGAGCAAAACCGTTTTAGATGGAAGCTATTTTTTTTTATTATTATTATTTCGTTGCTTTCGCATACCACTTGGAAATTCATGCCAAAACGCCCGGACGGGGCAAGAAAAAAAAAAATGCAGCCGCGGAAGGGGGAAAAAAATGTTTTCGATACCGTTGCCCGGGGCAACGCGACCTGTTGTCCCGGTGGCCGGCGCGGGGCGGCGCCACCATCGACCGGAAGTCGCACGCATCAAACACAAACCCGGTGCGTACGCCGGGTGGCGCGCTCCCCAACGAAACACGCCAACCGACGCGAGTATTATTGTGTCGTGTGTGGCCGCGAGAGATCTCGGCTTATCTTAATTACGACCGAAAAACCTAAAAGGAAAAAAGAACGTCAGGAGAAACAAAAGAGCGTCTTCATTGCAAAATCGCGTGACGCGCGGAGAAACAAAAAGACGCCCGCTCCAATTCGAAAGTTGTTCGGACAGAAGCAGATATTAATCAGCGTTCGAAAAGCAAGCCACGAAGTCAACGCTGTGAGCTGTTTCTGCCGTGGAAGCAAACCCCAATATCGATCTCGAGCTAATAAAAACAACGAGAAAAGACCGCCGGCGTCCCGGTGTAGGTAAACAGCGCTTCCTTGGGCTCTTCTTGATTCCGTTCGGCTTTTATTTATTTGTTTATTTATTTCCCCCCCCCCCCCCCCCCCCCCCCCCCACGACGCACTGTAAAAATGCCGCCTTCTGTCTATCGAAAACGTCGATGGATCCCATCTCTCTTAAAAACTTATTGAACGGGGACGGCGGGCGAGCCAGCGCGTCGCCCCACCTATCTGTTGGCACGGCCGGGTGCCGACTTCACCGCACGACACAGGTGTTATGCAGGAAAGAGCGTACCTGAAACACACTTCGACCCTTAAAAAAAAAGGAGGATATTGTGATGTGCAAGCATCGAGCTACTTGACTCGGGTAATGAGAAATAGCTTTTATGCGAGGAAATAAAAGTCGCACTTGGTATATATATATAAAAAAAAAATGGAGAGAGGAGAGCAAGAAACAGTTCAATATTTCTTTTCAGCGGCGAGATTGCTGCTTGTCCACTAGGAAACTCGTGAAAGTAATGAGTTTTGCAAACACAAGCGGGGTTGCCGCTTCCTTTTCTTTATTTGTTTTAATTTCGACCATTTACGCCAACAAACTTCCTGACATTTTTTTTTTCACAAATTAGTTTTTGAGGTAATGTTATAATGCCACCCAAATTCGTCAAACTCCACCCACTTAATAATAACTTTCGCTAGGACCTAAATTTCGTGATTTTAGCGATCAGGAAAATATTGCAAAACATTGAGCCTGCAAACGTATCAGCCCCCTAAACTGCAAATTTTGTACCCGCCATATATTCCCATAACTTGCGCTTCGCAAAATATTGACCCTGGAAAATAAGTTGTTTAAAGCGTGTCTATATATATATATATATATATATATATATATATATATATATATATATAACAAAAGCGACCACCACCTAGAAAGGTGGTGGGTCTAGAATACTAGACACCACATGCACGAGAGGTAATATGCTACGTAAAAAAAACACAGTGATAATTTGAAGTTTATGGGAAAGCGCTACTGATAAGCAGGGTTCAACTTTGTGAAACAAAATCTGATAAAATCCGAAAACAATAAAAACACTCACCGGCAATAAAATTTCCTTCAGCTCAAATTTATCCGTTGAAGTTCCGAACTTCAATGCAAGAAAAATACAACAAAAAAACGCAGTATTCTACAAATAACAGTGGTCTTGGGGAGAGGCCTTTATATGCGGAAAGCAAGTCGTCTGCTTCTTGGTCAGAAGTTGCGGCGACGTCCGAACGAGGCCGAGCTCGGATCGGCTTTCACTGAAAGGATTGTGGGTAGACATCAAGGCTAGATGCCTCCATGTCTACCCACTATTTTTTCAATCAGCCAATAGGAGCTTGGTACGCTGACTTCATCGCAACCCCTGTGAAAGCAGATGAACTTGCCCTCTGCATCGACAAAAGGGGGGTTTGCCAAATTTGCATAGATTGACGAGCATGTTGGTTGAGTTGAGGAACACCGAAAGACAAATGTGGGACGAAGGACGATGTACAATTTCCTTCAACTAGCAACAGTACAATAGAGTTACGGCGATTCGTTTTCGGAATCACATAGAATCGGATTCACACCGTGGGTGTGATTCTTGAAAAGATCTCCGAGGCTTTATCGTACTCTTGCTAGTTAAAAGGAATTGTAAGTCTTCCCTCGTCCTTTCTCTTTCGGTGTCGCTCACCAGATTTATTTGTTCCAGTTTTGTTCGGAACAATGGGTCATTGTAATTTTCTGTGACGACAGAAGCAACTGTTCCAGTTCCCAGTTTGGACTTCTTAGAGAAAGGTTTCACTCATAAAAGTGAAAGCTACGATCATAGAGGAGGAAGGCTCTATCTCACTACTCCACGCCGCACAGCCACACGGTTGAGCTCTTGAATGGGAAGAAAACGAATTATGCAAAGAGCTTCAGTGATATTTAACTATCGACGTTTATTAAAGCAACATTTGTTTGTAAGTTTTGTTGTGGGACTGTTGGTATATTACCAATGGCAACGGTACAAATGCCCAATCCAGTTGAAGAAACATCCTTCAATACACGCGAGTTCTTTTGAATTTAGGGCAGCTTTCTGTCCGAATAACGCGTGATGTTAATAGTAAACTCAGAGAAATTGGGCTCGCAGCAGAATTAAACACTGAATTTTGGGGGCATCCGAAATTTATAAGTAAACTCTGACAAACTCAGAATTTTCTGCGAGAAATAAACTCCGCATATGAGGAGAAATAAATTCCCCAAAACATGGAGCCGTACTGATAAGCAAGGGCAACAGACTCAGCGCAAGGAACTCGAGTTTCTTGCGCTGAGTCGCGGCACAGCAAGAGTGCCAGTTATGCTACCCGCTCGCGCTTGTAGCCTTTGCGGATAGTCTACGTCAAGGTGAGACCAAGTATGTACAAGCAGTTGCGCCACACATGTGCCAAAAAATCGTAGCGCTCGTGCAGCAGTGTTGCACGCATGCTATGGAACACCATTGCGAGTTGGGGCTGTGTGGTAGAAAACATAATAAAAACGTTCACACCTCGACTTCTAACTTTTTTTTTTTTTTTTAAACAGAACGCAAAAACTCTAAACTTAAAAAAGAATAAAAAAAAATAAAATAAAACGCTTGCGGCAGAGGCGACAAGCCAAAGCCGCTGCAGAGATTTCAAGCTTGCGCTGCAAGATCGGACTCCGGTAGCGCAAATTCTAAGATCATTCGTGGTTGGATCCGCGGACCTTTCTAAAGAAGCGCTCTAGAGCTGGCGGGCACAAATGCGCCGCTAAAAACCCACATCGGTGGCCGAGAGCTTTTTTTTTTTTTAATCTTTATATATGGTTTGGGGCGTAGCGCAGTGCTTGATCCATCGGCACAGGCGAGCATCGCCGAGCATCGGCCGAAATGCGACTGCGTTACGTTACTTGAGATCATGTATGCACATTGCACGCTCGACGTCGTTCGACGAAAGGCTTCGAAGCGTAGACGGCCGAGTCGAACGCGCTACGCTTTCTATTTAACTGGGGGATATAACTAGCGAAGAGAGCGGTGCGAATGGTTAGCTAGGCCTAAAGGAAGCTCCCATCAGCTTACCGGAAAAAAAATGCTGCCGTCGGTGCGGTTCCTCTTTCCCGAGGCGCTGGTTCCACTCGGGGGACGGGGATCCAACTCGTTCGACGATCTCGTGCAGGCGGTCCGGGAAGCAGAGAAATAACGCGGACTCGGCGGGGGCTAGTCTACGGCGCGATGAAAAAAATACACAAACACGGAGCGGTCACTTTTTTTCGCCGATCTCGTTCACGCACAGCGCCAACCAGCCAGCGATCGAAAACGGGCAATGGTGGAGGGGGAAAAGCCTTCCCGGCGTGCCCCGCGCGGAATACGCCGCGTGGCGACATCTGTGATTTGCGACTTGCGGCGCTTTTCTTGTTTTTTTCGGAAACGTGGCTTGTTTCGGTTCGTCGTCCAAAAGTTCGCAACGTCGCGTGCAGGTTTTTTCTTTCTTTCCTTTTCGGTGTGGCTGGCGTTGAAGCTGGTAGAAGAGCGAGCAGCTGTTTTTCACGTCCCTATTATATTCGCAACATATTGTCTCTTTTCGGTTTGTTTTTTTCCTGTCGGCGTAGGGAGCCTGACCACAACAGTGCAGATAGCGAAATTACTGAAAAAGATTGGTTTTCGGAGGGTGCGAACTTACGCTGCGCTGAAAATTCATACAACTTTAAAACGTATTATTCTCTGAAAAAAAAAAAAAAAAAAAACATATATATTTATATGTATTTTTAGAAGCCGATATCATGTGGAGATGGAAAAGCGAAAAAGCATATGTCTGCTAGAAAGAAGACGAAAATAAAAACCAATGTATCTTCCAGGGTTGGGCAGAAATACTCAAAAATGTATTTGGAAATACAAATACTGGGATACATTAAAATAGTAGCCAAAATACTGATACTAAAATACATCTGTAAAAATGTATCGCGATACGTATCGGAAATACATTTTAAATAGAGGTAAAAAGTATTTGGAAATACAAATACAGGAATACATTCTAGGGAGGGCAGAAATACAAATACAGAAATACTGATACTGGAATACATTTTTCACATTTGTTAGAGACGCCAACTGAGATGAAGCTTGAAGTTTAAAGTGGACGTTTTTTATCCCAAAATTACTTTCCCGTAGGCTTGGCACTTTGCCTTGAAGGTAGTGGTTTCGGACGACGAGGAGCCTTCAATAGGCTCAAAAAAACGTTCCATCAAGGACTGACCACGGTCCCTTCCCTGACATCCTGTCTGACGAGGGATACGAAAAGACTTCGACCTCTAAATAAATTCTATGTGAACCTAAATCTCATCAAAACGTCACCACGCCCCTATCCAATAAGGACGTCCCTGCCAACATTGATCACATGACGTCACGGTAGAATAAACTGGTATTCTTTATCTGTAGGTGTGGCCTTGAACATTAAACTTTACCACGCTGCTGTATGAAAGTACAATAGGTACTTTCGTTGTAGGTTACCTCGTTGAAGATCGTGCAGGCAATGTCATTTGGAATTTTCGAGAATAGTGGACCACCTGAAGCATCCTGGAACACGTGTCTCATCTTCTCTTACGGTTGAAAAAAAAAAAATACTCTGGCATCCCTGTTGTGAAGGTCCTTCCTGCCGACCCTCTGCGGCCGACGCATGGAAAAGTAAAAACAAATAAAAAAATATGCGTTCGGACTTGTTTTTCTTTTTTTCGGCTTTTGGGGGGGGGGGGGGGGGGGGGGGAGGAGTATTTCTCAAGAAATGTAACGAAATACATTTCATCCTGATTGTATCGCGATGCAAAGAAACATTCCAAAATGTATTTCGATACAGGAATACAGATACTGGTGAAAAAAATGTATCGCGATACAGAAATACAGATACGAAATGTATTTCTAAAATACTATCGTGATACATTTGTATCGCGATACTGCCCAACCCTGGTATCTTCCCCCTTTTCAAATCAAAATTAAACAAAAAGATGTCCTTTCGGCTGTAGCAGCCCAGGCGAAAATCAGTCCACTTCCAGCTGGATTATGGAACTGGAAATAAGGCGATCTAGCTGGATTCCAGCTGGACCCAGCTGGAATCCAGCTGGACCGCCTCATTTCCAGTTCCATAATCCAGCTGGAAGTGGACCGATTTTCGCCTGGGAGCTAGACACTGTGGCTAGACGACGGAAGAAACGCAGGGGAGTCGAACAACTGCCGTTGCTCGCAAGAGTCATGTGGTAGATCATTGCTACGGCAGCGAGAAGAATCATACAGGACGTTCCCACAATTCGTTGCGCGCCTCGCGCACGACCTTCCGGAATTTTTGGAAAATTGATTTGATCAGGATAAAGGAAGAGTGGAATAAACATATATCAGTATTTAATGTACTGATCCCGTAAGTGTGACGTCGCCGCTCCAAACAAACCGCTTGCCGACGCAGAAAATCCTTAAACTTGTTAGATATCGTGGCACCGTCTTGCAGCGAGAGACGGAAGCCGTCGATGTGCTACGCTGATACCGACACATCGTCATTAAATAGATAGCACACAAATTAATTTTCAGGTCAGATGTCTGTGTGTGTGAAGGTGTATGTATTAAGGTATATGGGAGGGGAAAGTAAAAGCCAATCGTTTACGCGCACAGGGCGGATTTGTCACTCGTTCGGTGAGATGCATGAACATGATGTTTCGGCTTTCCAATCCAATTAAGTATCTTGATTCGCTAGGCTAAGCATTCTAAAAAGCTTGGGCACGCATACATGATATTGAAACCTGAAAAACAAAAACTCGTGAAGGAGGAAGAAAAACGGACAGACATCTCTACAAATTTTATTGTCTCTACGCCTTATATATAGGGTGACCACCCGTCCCACGACTCGTAGGACTGTCCTGCATTAAGGGCTCTTGTCCCGCGTCCAGCAAGAAATATCAAAATCTTCCAAATGTCCCACATTTCACACGGTTGTAAAATTCACTACATATCTCATGGCGCTGTCAAACAATGGGGCACGGGGAAGCGCGGAGGTCGCTGGTAAACGTGAGAATCACGATGGTACAGCATGTTCTATCCATGCCACTGCGGGGTTCCGACCGCCGTTCTTGCAGGAGAAATGACGCACATGCGCCGTTGTGCCCACTGTGGAATGTGCGGATTAACGCTTCAAACTCTGAACTATAGCGAGGCATCTCCAGGAATGCAATGAATGTACAGCAAGTTGGTCAGAGACAGAAACCGTACACAGAGAGCGTGAGGAGGTAGATGTGTTGTGCGAGAACCTGTTCGCACAAAAATCCTCGGGAAATTGCATCAGCCAAGCGTCAATGCAACTTGGAGGCGAGTCCAAAAAGCTTCCTCGACTGTAAAACCTTGTGTGGGATGAAGTTATGAGGGTGTGGAGTTGCTTCGCAGAGTTGTTTTGCCATATGTTCGGGTCGGGATCATAATGGTGGGGGGAATTGATGGCGACTATGTGCGATTCACGGTGCAGTTCATTGGGGCATGGGGGGGGTGGGGGGTGGGGGTGAAGTTAGAAGCCAGTGCTTGTGATGCATTGTCCGCTTCGAAGTACTTCCGGGTGCGGTGGTGACGACCTTGTGCTTCTGTTTTTTAATGCGAAAGCATTAGCTGGTCCCATGAAGCGAGCTGACGTCATCAGTTTCAAGCTCGAGACGGCACCTAGTTTTCGCGATTTCACCTTAATTCCATTGGCTGGCGCGCGTTGACGGGGCTCCTATTGGCCACTGCGCTCATCAGTTTACACGACTGCTCACCCCATGGCGCTGCGTGTCCATCAGCGCGCCGTTAACATGCAACATCCAAGGTCACCACGGGAGCACGCGCGCTGACCGGCGACGAAAAGTATGCAGCAGACGAAAAAGTGAGCAGATGAGCGGCTTGCATGTTTTCGCATTCACGACTCCTAAGACGTGCTTACGTGAACCTCGCACTTTTTTTTATTTTGGACCCGGTATACTGGGTGAAGATGGAAACGATAGGTCACTTTTCCCTTTGTTTCCGATGTATTGTTTGCGTTTGGTGTATTGTGGTTCTGGTGGATTGTTTGCGGTTCGGTGATATCCGTTGTGGTGGTGGCAACATTTGGGGGAGGGGTGATAAGGCATAGAGACCAAGTCTGTAGTTGAGTTTGAGACATCAGTCCCTTTCTCTTCCTCCTACATGAGTTTCCGTTTTTCAAACCACAGTTTCAGGTTTCAATCATGTATAACTTACACCAGCTCGCCTGCACTTCAATGTTTTTTCACTAAAAAGGGCAGCGGTCAGTCTTCTCATCTCAACAACTTTTCTCTTGTTGTGCTGATGGCACACTACCGGTCGATGGATGAAATTGTTTTTATAGAGACAGGGACCAGACAATCTCAGCTGGGCCGGATGGGCAAAGAGCCGCGGCAGGCTTTATTCACGGTCTATACACAAAACGTAACAGTAAGGCGGCGCCCCCCATGATAGTGCGTTAGAATCAGGTATTGTTAAGAGAGACACCTGCCGGTAACAACATTACATCCCCCTTCCAGAAAAATACACTTCTCTCAACCAAACTAACAACAATCACAAGTTCAGTCTCATAGGTGGAATAACCCTTTGCCCTGATCTTGTTCAGCAATGCTCCTGCTGCCTGAAGTCGCTTGATGTCGAATTTCTGTTTACCCGTGGGCTTGCACTCGTCACTGCCGGTCGTTGCTGTTGCAGTTCAGTCGCCGTCTCTGAAGGTGGGGTTGGAAGACCAGCAACAGGCTACCCAGGAACTGGAGGACCAGCAACAAGCTCCCCAGAAACTGGAGGACCAGCAACAGCTTGGTACACCCACTGTTATGGGTCCTGCCCCAGACCCTGCTGGCATGCCTGTAGCCATAGTCTCCGAACTTAGTCACGGCCGCGGCCGTAGAAGGCAGCCTAGCGAACCACTCCCGACACTAGAGATCGGGACCAGACAATCTGAGCTGGGCCGGATGGGCAGAGAGCAGCGGCAGGCTTTATTCACGGTCTATATACAAAACGTAACAGTAAGGCAACGCCCCCCATAATAGTGTGTTTGAATCAGGTATTGTTAAGAGAGACACCTGCCGGTAACAAACATATTACATCCCCCCTTCCAGAAAAATACACTTCTCTCAACCAAACTAACAACAATCACAAGTTCAGTCTCACAGGCGGAATAACCCTTCGCCCTGATCTTGTGCAGCAATGCTCCTGCTGCCTGAAGTCGCTTGATGTCGAACTTCTGTTTACCCGTGGGCTTGCACTCGTCACTGCCGATCGTTGCTGTTGCAGTTCAGTCGCCGTCTCTGAAGGTGGGGTTGGAAGACCAGCAACAGGCTAC